TCATAATTAACATGATATGGGTGATCAGCACCCCGAAAAAACCATAGCAGCCACCCTTTACGACGTTCTAACGGGTCCCGATTTTCCCGACTTTTGGGTCAGACCTGACCTGGAAGGTCAACCAATGACCTCGGACCTAAAAAAATGGGTAGCATCAGCTTCCTCTCGTCACGGGCGTCGGGCAGCACGGTCGTTTTTTTCCGCGAAGCTCTAACTCGATCAGGGGCGAAACGGCAGGGGGGGGGGGGGGTTCAACGGACCTTCCTATGCGTTCGTGGCTAGAAAAAAAAAACACCAATAAGGGCGAGGGTTAAGTACTTTCGCTTTGGGAAATAAGAACAATAATCAGCAGTCAACTGACTACACGTTATAAGGGGCAGACGCAGAGAACCCGCCACGGCTCTGGTGTTGATATTGATACTTTATGAGGTAGAAATGCAATTGCATGCGTAAGATAGGCGGTCAGCCCGTTGCTAGCAGTTTGACTTTGCTACTACGCACCGGATTGATAAATGATAGGTACACCTTTAAATAACTCACTTCATTCAGGCTAGTTCAATTGCAATGGGATCTGAGTTCTGACTGGTTGGCGTCAAACCTAGCTGACAATTTTAGGGCACCCACAGGAAGTTAGCTATCCTGGTTAAAAGTTTACATGATAGACAGCGGCGTATTTAGAAAATTGCAAAGGGGGGCCAAGAGTTCGGAGGGCGCCACCTCACCCAAGGAGGGCGCCATATGGTCACGAGATAATAAAAAAAACATAAAGATCGCTCAGGAGGGGGAGGCGTTTTTTTTTTTTTTGCCACACCACCAGTTTTTTACGTGTGTACCTAAATGTCATTATTGTAAGATCAATCTGTTAAGACCAAGACGGGTTTCATGCATAGAGCGTAGGTAGTTTTGGTTTACTTCATTCATTGTGCTGAATGCACGCTCATCTGTGGCAGTTTCGACAGGCAAGGCATCAAATATGTGAAAGAGAGCGGCTATGCTGGGAAACATGCAAAATGAGTAGATAAATGAAGGGCAGCGATCAATAGCGGTCGCCAATGGGTAGAAGGGCTGCGATCGACAGGAAGGCGCCAATGGCTGAGAGGGCGGCGATCATCAGGAGAGCGCCAAATAGGAGGACCCCCGATCAGCATTAAACAGGAGGGCGCCAAAAGATAGGAGAGCCCGATCGACATTCGACAGGAGAGCACCAATATAGGCTATTGGCAAGCAGCAGCAGGGCCCCAGTAGGTATATGTAGAAGGGCGGCAATTAACAGGAGGGTGCCAATAGGTATACCCCGGCCAACATTCACCTGGAAGGCGCCAGTAGGTGGGGGAGCACCGAAAAACAGAAGAATGTTAATTATCAGGAGGGCGGTGATCAGCAAGAGGGCGCCAATGAGTGGGAGGATGGCAAATGGCAATCAACAGAAGGTTGCCAATGGGTAGGAGGGAACATGAGGGCGCCAAGAGGTAGGAGGGTTCCGATCAACATTCAACAAGAGGGAGCCACGGAGGGCGCCAATAAGTAGGAGGGTGGCGATCAACAAGAGGATGCCAGAACGGAGGACGGCGGCAATCAAAATTCTACAGGAGGGCGCAGTAGGTAAGAGGGCACCGACCAGCCGAAAGGCGCCAACGGATAGCGGGGCGGCGACCTACAGGAGGGCGCCTTTGGGTGAGGACGCCGATTTATAGGAGGGAGCCAATAGGTAGGAGTATTCCCATCAAAATGAGGGCGCCAGTGGGTAGGACGGCTGCGGTCAACAGGCTTAAATTGGCGACTACCACTACGATTAGAGCGCTACAGACTACAAAGCGGCTGGAGGGCGCCGGAGGGCGCCCTCCAACCGCATTTTCCTTGTAAACATATTCGCGATTCGAGGGCTCCTTCGGCGCCCTCCAATCGCAAAGAGGGGTGGGCATGGTCCAGTGACCCCCCTGCCTACGCCCCTGGATAAAAGATAGGCACGTGAAATAATACAGCGTGATAGGGAGGGGCGAATCATAAAACGTTCTGGGAAAGGGAGGCGTGTAAGGGCAGAAAGGCGTCTGGGGAGGGGCGGCACGTAGAGGTGGCAAGGTGCCTTGGGAGGGCGGCGCCGACTGCTAGATAGAGCATTGTGGGGAGGGGCGGCTTATTGAGGGCGGCGGGAAGTTGTTGCGAGGGCAGCACATAGAGAGCGCCGAGGTACTCTGGGGAGGGGCGGCAAGTCATCTGGGGAGGGCGGCACAGACGGGCGATAGGGCGGTACATTATGCGGAAGGGCGGCACATTGAGAGCGGTGGGGTTCTGTGAGGGGCGGCACATATAGAGCTCTGAGGAACTTGAAGGAGAGTCGGTGCGGAGGGGCGGCAGGGCATCTGGGAAGGGCGGCATGCATAGTGGTTACCTAGGTATTTTAGTGAGGAACGGCACGTTGAGGTCAGGCGTATAGTGGACCGAGCAGCTTGCCGTTTCTTTTGCTTCGTTTTCAAGTCACCAAGCCCCCCAATTGCAGAGTTCCTCTACCGGGGGCGGCATTTCAGCATCCCAAAAAATGGGCTGGAATTTCCAGCGTTCCAGCGCGGTGGTTACGCCCATGTCCCCCCTCCCCCCTGAAATTTTGACAGATCTCCACCCGACCACCCCTGAACTGCCGAATAGAATGATGCCTATTACCTACCTATGCAACATAATCTCCCTCAACCAGCTTCATGACCCGAGACTTTGACTTAAAGGAAAAGGGCCACCTTCGTGAAATATGAAGATATCGTTGTTTTTCATTTTGACATTATTATTTTTCATTTTCTTTTTAAAACTGGTGCCAGAACTGCACAATTCGCGAAAAAGTATTTAAAACTATTTAACATATTGGTACTATGTTGATACTCTCTACGGCACCTACTGTATGATGGCATAGCGATGACGTCACACTCAAGCCAATCAGCGTTCAGAAGACAGACTCGTCGGATTGTGTCAGATAAGCTGATTGGTTAAAGCTGAGCTGGTTGGAGCTGATTGGTAAAAAACCAAAGCCTCGCCGCGGGTGGCTGTATTGTCGGATAAGAACGCATTCCTGGGATAAGGACGCATTCCTGGCGTATTTTCTTTTAAAATTGCCGATAGCTACGAATGGAGGCCGAAATCGGCCGTAAGGAGGAAGACAGATAGGTTTTCGGACACGGGCTACAAGATGGCTATCTCAGTTTCAATCCCCATGTTAAAGGTGGCCCTTTTCCTTTAAAGGGACTATCCCACCTTCTAAAATGTTGTTAAAACCAGTTAAATTGTGCCCGACTTTATAGATTGGATGACCAGGAACACGGTTCTGGTATTTATTTTTCATTAAACATCTTAGGCTTCCCATATTCCAAACACAAACTTTCAAATATGTGACGTCACAGCCCAAAATTACCTCCTTCCCCAGGCCACATTACTGTCATAAAGCTGATTCTTTTTACTCTGTAGGCACCACAACAAAGTTCAGACCAAGTTTTAAGCGATTTTTCAACGAACAAACCCATTTAAATCAGAATGACTAAACGAGGTGACGTCACACTAACGGTCGCTCCATGTTGAAGATAGGGCCTTGTACAAGGCCCATTTTCAAATGAAGGGAACGAATTTCTTCAACACTAAGAGGCCGCGGGGGTTGCAACCTAGATAGATAGTGGTTTCTGAACCTCGCCGCAAACTTGGCTATCTCAACTCAAACCCCATGTTAAAGGTGGGATAGTCCCTTTAAACTTGACCTGAGGTCAACACCTTAATTTGATTATTCCCCCCAAAAAAAATGTCAATTTCCGCGAAGCAATAGGAGCAATGGGGTAGGTAGATTCACCTTTGAGAGCGAAAGCTACCCCCCCCCCCCCCTGTTAGAGGCGTGTGAAGGAAAACAATAGGTCCGACGAAAGAGCCCCCTTCGGCCGTAAGCGACTGAGGCTTTCCATAGGTTTCCCCATGAGTTAGGAATGTAGGTAGGTATGTACAGTCCACAGCAGAAGTAATGTACGGTTTCAGTCATGGGCATGTTCTGCTTCTGAAGCTTAGGAACGATTAGCCAGACTACAATGAAACTTTAAATGTAGCTTATATGTATCGTCACCCTTGCAGCTGAAACTTTAGCTGTTGACATCTTCTTTTCTATCACTATCGCCAGTCAAAGCCAACCGTTGAGATTGGTAAAACCCTACATTACTTTAGCGGTGGGCTGTATGTACCTACCGAATTGTTAAAAAAAAAAGCGAAAATCGGACATTTTTTGGCTTCGGCGACGTTAGGTTACCCGACCTTTGACGTGAACTGACACAGGTGCCGAGTTAGAGGGGCGATCAGACGTTGCCCAACAGGAAAACAACAACACCAGTCTTGCTAAACAGAGGTGCCAAACAAATGCCTTTTTTATTTTGAGGTAGAAGTAGCTGTGATCTGTGTGTGCAAAGTCAGTGACTGGTACACACCGATCGTTTTGACAAACCGTCTGTTAGAAAATAAACCCGTGATGCCCAATTACGACATCTCAAGTTTGTCAGGAACGCCTTTTATTTCTCAAATGATCAGCAACTTCCATTCTCTAGGAAGACGGGTAGATTTCCGTTTCTGGGAACCACAGTTGCATGCCTCACATCCCGCTGAGCCGATGCTGCTCACTCTGCCTTGTCACTCTCACCTACTGGTGATGCAAACGCGACGCACCGGTATCGCCGCATATCTCAACAGGGACCCGCCGAGCGCCGTGCTCTAGCGACCGTCTCTCAGTCCAGGCGTTAGGTACTGAGTCGTGCTGAGTCGAAAACGGCTGGGACGGGCTCGCGCAGTCCTCACCCTGACCCGTGCTAGGTGTATCGCCCACCACGCATCTCAACCCATTCACCCCAAACGGTTGTAGCCCGCCCCCGCTCAGACCTGTGCCTTTTCTCCAGTCTGACCTCTCCGATGGCAGGGGGTGAGGCTGTCTGTGACCGGGCCGGCCGGCGGCTCCTCATGGGTTCACTTTCACCGCGCGGCGACGGCGGCCGGGGCAGCCGGCGGCGGCGCGGCCGGCCAGCCGCAGCGCGCTGACCCACATCCCGGCAGCAGCGAGTTCCACTTTCCTCACAACTGGCGGTGCAGTGCGGCGGGCAGCACGTGCCTGCGAGCGGTGGCCGGCGCGCGGAGCAGAATCGCCGGGCTGTGCGCGCTGCCAGAGACGGGCATGAGGACGAGCCGGGTGCTACGCAGTGCTAACACGTGCTAACGAGTGCTAGCGGGTGTCGGCGAGTGCTAGCGGTCTGTCGAGAAGTGACCGGGGAGTCGTGCTAACCGGGCCGACAGTCATGGAGCTCTGCCTACTTCTGCTCGTGGTTATGGTGAGTAGAGAGTGCCGTTGCTTACCCAGCTGTGCTAAATTGTCATCTGACCTGTTACACTGTCTTTTGACCTGTCACATTTCCCTTAGACCCGTCACATTGCCAACTGACCTGTCATTGTCAGCTGACCTGTCAAATTGTCATCTGACATGTCAACTAAAATGCCATGCTGTCATATGATGTCGCACTGTCATCTGAGGTTGTCAGACTGTCATAAGAATAACATCGGCCATCGTCCTGTCCTCTGAATTGTCAGGCTGTCATATGACACGGCAGATTGTCATCTGACATTGTCATGTGACTTGTCAGGACAGGTAGAGATAAAGAAAGAGGGAGATAGAGAGAGAGAGGGGAGGGGGTGGGTGGGAAGAGATGTGCCGTCTGAGATGAATTCAGCTCTCTCTCCCTCTCTCTCTCTCTCTCCCTCTCCCTCTTCTCTCTCTCTCTCTCTCTCTCTCTCTCTCTCTCTCTCTCTCTCTCTCTCTCTCTCTCTCTCTCTCTCTCTCTCTCTCTCTCTCTCTCTCCCTCTCTTTCCAAGGCGAGCGCCTGTCGTTGCAGACTGGATAGAGGAGAGTTTAAGAGTAATTATGCTGTCACTTCAGCTTACGTCTGGAGAGCACGCGATCACAGTCAGTACCTCACACCAATCGACTGGGGAGAGCGTGCTTTGAGTGGCGACAATTTCCCTAGTATGAGATTACAGGCCACAGATATTGATATGGGATAAACGGTGTTTGCCAGACAGGGCAGTGTACAGATAATTATTAGGAAACAGACGTTTGCCAAACGTTTATAGGACAGTATTGCCGTCTTTTCTTTTGTCATAGGTATATGAAGTCTTGAACACTTCCAATCATACAAGAACATCCTTTTTCATCACACATCTCGGTTTTACAAGCCTACCCAATATCCATTCGTTTTACCTCCAAACGTCAATAATCACCACCTGCCTATTTTCTGGCCAGCTGATCTTTCTCGTCACGTCGACGCGTTGCCTCAGGTCAGTGCGTGACCCATAGAGCATTCTGTCAGTTTTCGGCGCCTGCTGTGCCCATTGAGGCTCGTGAGAGCTTCTGTACGGCCGCGTGCCCTCAGGCGCCGCTCCAGGGCAGTGCTGACTGACCATAGTCTCACAGTGGACCGTCTCCAGTGAATTAGCTCGCAGTCAGCTGAATTCACACCACAAATGGGTCGCTACTGGGGTGTAACTTAATGTGCGCGTGTGTGATGGTTGTAGTTTGTTTGTAGATTGTAGCTTCCCTATTTGTGGATTAGGCCATGGAAAATGTCTTGAAGGATATGGCTTGCATTCATCGGTTTTATACACCCCGCAAGGATATCAATGGCTTGCATTCCTCTGTCATATACTCCCTGCTTATCTTCCACCCTTCAAAGAAATGTGAGCGTGACATTGATTGGTATGCCAAGCGTTGGAGCTGCGGTTTGACCGAGTTTTGTTTCGTGTTGCGTCACCCTTCTGTGGGTGTTTCTTTGAGTCATCCACTGCTTGGCACCGATCCGTTATCGACAGAAATGGCGCCCTGAGCTCAAAAGCAGTGCACGGCATCCAGTAAAGGTGCAGGGCCCAATGTTCGCCTCTTTCTGTTTATTGGTTGTAACTTGTAAGGACGGTGCTCTCTCGTTCTTTGGCAAATGATTAGCCCGCCAGCGCTGTCGGCCGTTCGGAAACATTCCAATTGTGTTGAACCGAGGATTTGTCTGTATGACATTTGATTAATAATATCAAGTTCAAGGCCGGCACCATAGCTGCCTTTACTTATATCATCGTGCCATTGCTAACGATACATGCAACACATCTAAGCTGTGCTGGGCCATCATAAATCAAATGTCATGTAGGTATTTTCATCATCACTGCAAACAAGTTCTCAGCCCCCTGAGGTTTCTCGTACGCATGCTAAGGCGTTCTTCTTGCATCGAACTAGCTTGCAAAAACTTCATCCCTCGCTGGCGAAATGTGCTGGAGGGCAGGCGGGCGTCTGTTTTGCTGCAGCTGAGGTCAACTGCGTCAGAATAGTCATCTGAAGTTGGCACTTTGCCAGGTTAGCACAGCACTGAGTTGGCGCATTGCCAAGCTCACACAGCGCTTAAGTAGCTTGTTGCCAGGTTGACACAATATAAGTATTGAAGCTACTGTGTCAGTTGGACTGGAGTGACAACACGGTAAGCGATACTTCGGCGATACAGCAGCCACTACGGAAGTGTCACACCTAACAACGCACGAGATAGCGCGGATAACAGTGCCCTAGTGACTGAAGCCGCCGTGTTTTTAGAGTTCAACTGAGGTGAAACTTTCACACCACAGCTACCTCGCAGAAGAAATACGAGCCAAACTCATGGTCATACGCCGGCTCTAGCTGCTTGGATCGTCTCAAACCAGTTTGTCTGATCACTAGGGGCGGACCGGAGAGATTTCCATTCGAATTGCTACTTTCACCACACACCTCAGACGAGTCTGAGCAGGTCGTTTAATGGTATAAGAGCCGAGTCCTTTATTATCCCCAACAACGCAATCAGGCGTTGCCCTTTTAAGGAAAACGGTGCTACCATTTAGATTCGCATACCTACCCGCATACCTCCGCTACGGGATCCGGCGTCGCACCCTCCCTTAGTGCGTGGGAAAGGGGAGGACGAGGGGCTGGTCCCCAGGTGTCATGCCATTCTCTTCTATAAATATCCCATCCATTAGGTGGAAAGTTTTGGCCCGTGTCCAACTCGAGGGGACCACGGAAAGCCCCGGCTCATAGGAGTCTTGAACTGAATCGGGATCAATTGCTTGTCGTGTCGATATAATGTGACGATGCACTTGGGCACTTGTTATGTACTCAATAATTATTTCCCGAATAATGCCATTGTGACAGTCGTTAACAGCTCCTGTCTCACCAGCTCGGCGCGGTCTGCCACCAGACTGGTTACGGAGTGGTTAGACCGGCTGGCAGAGGACCAAAAACAGCCGGTACCTCGTGGTCCGGACTCGGTCAGCCATCACCCCTCCCCCTCCCCCACCCGCCCCTCCCCTCCCTGCACCTCGCCCTTTCGGCCGCAAACTGTGTCATAAACAGGTTCATACACCGGGTAGTTGTTCGCACGGAGAGGCCGCAATAGGTCGTACAATGGTGGGGATCAAAGCGTTTATGAGCGGTGTATGGCGAAGAAAAGAGAGAGAGAGAGAGAGAGAGAGAGAGAGAGAGAGAGAGAGAGAGAGAGAGAGAGAGAGAGAGAGGAGAGAGAGTTAAATGTAAATACAATACAATGCAATACAATACCGTGACGGCACGGTGTGAGGACGTATTTAGCACATTATGCCGCGATGGCGCTTCCAGTTGCTATGGAAACCGACCTCACAGCTGTTTTAAATTCCTGTCCAACAATCTGATACACGTAGCGGCCCTCTATCACCCACATTTCCATATTGATTCATCCTTACATCAGTCGAGGCACGTTCGAAAGTCAATGCAGAAATGCATGTCCATGTGGCCAATTGCAGGTCATCGCTCCGTCATTGCGGAAAGGTTCGACGATTGCGGAAAGGTGCGATGATTGCGGAAAGGTTCGACCAATGCGGAATGGGTCGGTCGGTAAGACTCGGACAGAGACACACCGCAAAATGTCACTCAGAGACAGATCAGTGGTCGATCTCGCCACCGCTATGCCAAGTTTCACTGGTTCTCAGTTTCCTTGTGGTTACGGACCGCTAGGCAGAGCTGAGGCGGTTTACTCCGTAGGTGACACGCCTATGACGAACAGTTTATCTTGCGCAGGGGTGGATTTTTATATTAAGTTGGGGTTGCCCGTGCAACCCCAACTTTGAATTGTGCAACCCCAACATCGGTTTGTGCAACCCCAACTTTACAACTGAAATAAATCGGCGGGCGACTCGAATAGTGCCGCCCCCATAACCCTGAGCCATCCCAAAACTCTATGCCACCCGTTGACATGGCACCATCTTTCAAAAGAGCCCTACCCATCATGTAGGCAATAGTCAGTTCACCCCTCAACTATCTAGTGTAATTGCCGCCTCCTCAGACCTCAAATGTAGGTGCCGCTCCCTCGAATGTAGGTGCCGCCCCCTCGAATGTAAGTGCCGCCCCTCGAATGTAGGTGCCGCCCCCTCGAATGTAGGTGCCGCCCCCTCGAATGTAGGTGCCGCCCCCTTAAATGTAAGTGCCGCCCCCTCGAATGTAGGTGCCGCCCCCTCGAATGTAGGCGCCGCCCATTAAATGTAGGCGCCATCCCCTCGAAAGTAGGTGCCACCCCCTTGAATGTTGGTGCCGCCCCTCAAATGTACCTAAATGCCGCCCCTCGAATGTAGGTGCCGCCCCCTCGAATGTAAGTGCCGCCCCCTCAAATGTTAGTGCCGCCCCTCCCTCGAACGTAGATGCCGGCCCTCCTCGAATGCAAGTGCCGCCCCCTCGAATGTAGGTGCCGCCCCCTCGAATGTTGGTGTCGCCCGCTCGAATGTAGGTGCCGCCCCCTCAAATGTAAATGTCGCCCCTCGAATGTAGGCGCTGTCTCCTCGAACGTAGGTGCCGCCCCTCAAATGTTAGTGCCGCCCCCTCGAATGTAGATGCCGGCCCTCCTCGAATGTAGGTGCCGCCCCCTCAAATGTTAGTGCCGCCCCTTCGAATGTAGGTGCCGGCCCTCCTCGAATGCAGGTGCCGCCCCCTCAAATGTTAGTGCCGCCCCCTCGAATGTAGATGCCGGCCCTCCTCGAATGTTGGTGCCGCCCCCTCAAATGTACCTAAATGCTGCCCCTCGAATGTAGGTGCCGCCCCCTCAAATGTTAGTGCCGCCCCCTCGAATGTAGATGCCGGCCCTCCTCGAATGTAGGTGCCGCCCCCTCAAATGTTAGTGCCGCCCCCTCGAATGTAGATGCCGGCCCTCCTCGAATGCAGGTGCCGCCCCCTCAAATGTTAGTGCCGCCCCCTCGAATGTAGGTGCCGGCCCTTCTCGAATGCAGGTGCCGCACCCTCGAATGAAGG